ATGTATTTATGTACGAAGTTCTGCGTTGTATCTGTCTGTCTGTCTGACTAGAATGAAAAAACTGTCCAGTGTTTTCAGATTTTCTAAGGTGATTTTGCAAAATCAATTGGTGATTTCAACTGTGAAATTAGAGTTGAAAAAGTGACATTAGTTCATCACTAACTACGTGAGGAAATTCTCGAAGTTTTAGTGAGAAGCCATGACAAGTGGAGTTCAGCCGTGACGGGTTTAGACAGCAACTACTGAAGACAAACGTGTGAGGTCACACAAAATCCCTAAATTGGTCAGAGTTAGACATTAACTGTTCTGGACGACATTTAAGTCGTCCAGAGGTTAAGCGTTCGTGTGGAAGATCGAAGGTCCTGGATGCGAATCCTGTCAGTAGCAGGAGTCGTGGATGCCTACTGTCGATGAGTATCGTACCAGAACGAAACGGAAGTCATGTGCTTCCAGGTTTCTAGTGGTGATCTAACAATGATTGATTCATGATTCAAACGATAGTATAAATGCAATTCATTTGAATACGCAGTTTAAGCTTCATTTAAGGAATAACAAGGGCTTTTGTTTCAGAAGTATTGGATGTCTGAAACTTTCCATTGATGTTTCTGACTGTCATTCATCAGTCACTTTGACATAAATGTAACCTGTATAGTTTGCTTCGATATTGTCATCGTGATACATGCTTATATAGAATAGACAGAATGTGGTCATTGGTAAAGTCTAGGACTTGTGTTTCGCTTCAGTTTGGGGTTTGTCAGTTGAATGTACCTGCATTTCAGAGTTGATGTTCACTCCAGGACTCGAACCCAGTACTGTTCGCTTGAAACACTATTGCTTTATCTACTTACCTACTGAGTCCAGATAGCTATTTGCTTGTGCAATGGGGCCAATCTTCCCAGTGATGTTTACGAGTGCCATTGATCGATTGCCTTGGCGTATATGCACCCCATGGGGATTGGCTTGCTATTATCTTCCGATCACAACCATTATTTGTAAGGGTAATGAGTTAAAGTTTTGTAGAAAACATCAACTCTGAGATTTAGGTACATTCAACTACAGACAAGTCACAAAATAAGACGATAGGTACCTCTTACATTCAACAGCTAGCCACTACCTACCTATGTCAATAAAGAGCTTTTGCTATTTTTCAGAAGTTGAATACCAAGTAATTTAGGTAGATTTGAACAAACTTTATGGATGAATAAACTGGCTAAAAAAAGCCTTTCTATTACACATATTCACATTTACCCATTATTCATATTTCTTCATATTGGGATACAGACTACAGACTACTACTACTACGCAATTTGAGAGCTTTGATTGATTGTGTGCTTGCTGAGTGTTTGTAGAATACACTTTCTACGCTACATCAAGACTTCTTGCTGGTACAATTTGGGATCACAGTAGCTTACCTGGACGCTGGTTCATTGTTTTGTTCTCGTTAATCGACTAAGATGAAACCGTAATAGTTTAAGTAGAGACGAGTATAACGCTTAACTTCCACTGCTGGAAACTATTGAATTTTGATCAAAAAATTAAGGTGTACAATTTCAAATAAATGTGACATATTCTTGGGATACAACAACACATGAAATAATAATTCAAACAACTGCAGAACCATCGTAACCTAAATGACTCCAACTAATTGAGAATTTCTTATCATAATTCTAGAAATACTCATCATTTTTAATTTTATTTTATCTAATTAACTAAGTTGACATTGGAACATTGAATTATTGACAGCGGAAAATTTGAAACTTTTGTCATTGACAATATCAACTATGTGAAATCGTTTTTTTTTTCAATTAAAAGTTGTCTTTTTTTTATTAAAAATCATATGACATTTCAAATTTTTTAAACGTTACTAACTTTCATAAGATAATTTACTCCCTACTGAGAATTTTAAATCTATTCTAATCATTGAAATAAAATTTGTCCATAAGAAGTGTTAGTTGACATTTTATATATCTTGAAGGTAATGTTCAAATGAAACTCCGTTACACAAATAAGCCAGAAATGATTAAAATAGGAGGTTGATTTCTTCATCCATGTATAGAACTCTAGATTTGACAAGTGACTGGACTGAAGACCTATATGCATTACGGGGTTGTGAAGATTGTTAAGTTTTTTGAAACCATGAATCGATCAATGTTAGACCAACACCATTAGAAACCTGGAAGCACTGGACGGCCGTTTCGTCCTGGTATGGGACTCCTCAGCAGCAGTGCGCATCCACGACTCCTGCACCAAGCAGGATTCGAACCCAGGACCTTCGGTATTGTAGTCGAACGCCTAACCATCGGACCACTGAGGCGTCCCATACCAGGACGAAACGGCCGTCTGTCAGTGCTTCCAGGTTTCTAATGGTGGTCTAACATTGATCAATTCATGGTTTCAAAAATGTGTAACATAACAATCTTTACAACCTCGTAATGCGAATTACTTGTGCTCACTGGTGACTAGCTTCGTGAGGAATCTTCTCCAAGTTCTAGTGGGAATTCATGACCAATGAAGTTCAACCTGTTTGGGTGTTAACAGTAACTACTACCGAAGACTGTGTATGAGGTCGCGCAACTACATGAATTGATCAAGTTAGACATTAACACCGTTAGATACCGGCTCAGTGGTCTGATGGTTAGGAGTTCGACTACAATACCGAAGGTCCTGGGTTCGGATCCTGCTGGGTGCAGGAGTCGTGGATGCCTACTGCCAGTGATGAGTCCCATACCAGGACTTGACGGCCGTCTTTCAGTGCTTCCCGGTTTCTAATGGTGGCCTAACATTGATCTAAAGACCTTTAGATTATGTGCAAGTTTTTAACTATTAAACCATGATGATAGAGTGTTGACTTGTTACATACTCCTTAATTTCAGTCGACACTATTGACAATGAGTTATTCACTGTTAAAATATATTAGAACGAAAGAGTTATTCAATGGTCTGTAAGTTTCATAAGTATCTTAAATGTATTTAGTTCACAATGTGTATAACATCTTCGACATAAGTATTTGACAATCACTTTGTTTTAATCGAAAATTGTTTGGAGGCGTTTTATTCAAATTGGTTGTTTGAATGTTTTCATTTAAATGTTAGGACTGCAAGTGATCAGTCTCTTTTCGCCTATGAGAATCCGATGTGAAGTGCGCTGATAATTTTCATTAGATTAACGGTACTATAAACAAAGATGGATGGTGGCTAACAGTGCAATCTAAAACGTAATGGTGTTTGGAGCTAACGGTCAGTCAGTCAGTCAGTCAGCTAAAACGTAGAACTTCATACGTACGTACGTACATAAGTTCTGGTTGTCATACCACATTAGCACACAGATGTAACTGTCAGTTTAAGTCCCATAATGGTAGAGACAGTAGAAATTTTAACGATAATGGAGAAGATTAGGGAGCGAAGATATGATTCGAGAAGTATAATTCAGTGACAACATTTAGAAGGAGAAAGATAGAGGAATTCAGAAGATTAGAATTTTAGAGAACACAAGTAATGGATGCACCTGCACCATTACAGACTATTTTCAGCCATATAGTTCAAAGTCGCTAACCATCCGTTACTAACATCTCGCGGACCCCAAACAGATAGTCTAAACTTATCAATATGACTCAGTCTACTTGTCAGTGATTTCATGGATTTGTGCCATGATCTTCCAACGTACTTCTACACCACAAAACATCGCTCATCGAGGCGGTCGGCGGTTGGGCATACGTAACACATGTCCCAGACACCTTGATTGATGAAAAGCTCATCCTGTAATTCATCGCTGCAACTCCGTAGAACTTCTCGAAGAGTGATACCTAAATAATGTTTGTTGAAATCATGAATCAGTCATTGTTAGACCACCATTAGAAACCTCGGTGATTTCTGCAATGTGTGTCCTATCCACTTACAGCGCTTTCTTCTAATTTCTTCCTCAGATGATATCTTGCCTGTTCACTTCCACAGTAGGTTGTTGCTGATGATTTCTGGCCAAACGGATCTACAGTATCTTGTTTAGGCACTTGTTGATAAACACCTGTATTTTGTGGAAAATCGCCTCTGTAGTTCTCCAAGTTTTTATCCCATACAGTAAAATTGTTCTGACATTTGTATTAAAAATTGTGACTGTGATGTTGGTTGATAGTTGTTTAAAAATTCGGATATTCTTCAACTGTCGAAATGCTGCCGTTGTTTTACCGATTCGTCTTTTCATATCGGCATCCCATTCACTTTGTTCATCAAGGATACTATCGTGTTATTAACATATGAAATTATTTTTATTCTCCTAAAATAAAGTTTAATTACATTTTTTCGTAACGTTCCATATTTGTACGGGGTATCCCTTGAAATACTTTTTCTTAATGGAAGGGTGACTGTCATCTGTATTCCATGTGACTATGGTGTGTTAATTGAGTTTAAAAATTCTATAATCCGGTGAAGTTTCTGTGTTACTCACTAGTGACTAGATTCGTGAGGAAATTCTCGGAGTTCTAGTCAGAAGATGTGACCAATGGGGTTGAACCTTATCGGTTGCAGGCAGTAACTACTGAAAACAAATGGGCGCGAAATCCCCAGATTGATCTGAGTAAGACATTAACACCGTGGTATGCCGGCCCAGTGGTCCAGAGGTTAGGCTTTTGCGCCCACGACCGAAGTTCATAGGTTCGAATCTTGCGAGTAGCAGGAATAGGTGGATGCGCACTGTTGAATAGGAGTCCCATACCAAGATGAAATGGCTTTCCAATGCTTTCAACGTGTATTACAATTTAGAAGAAATCACATTGTGTTTATTGTTCATTCTTTTCAGTGTATGATTTCTATGGTTTTTATTATCATGAACTAGCCCTAATCAAACTATCAATAAGGATGTTTTTTCTCAAAGTGTTCAACTTTTAAGAATCTAGAATTTACAATCCCAACCTAGCGATCGAACCTTGAGGTTCTTGTTCTCCCTAATATATTAAACTGTTTTTTTTTCAGTAGGTCAATAATTAAAAATCACAATAATCTACTTACCATTTTTATCGACCGCTAAAAATTTCACCCATATATGTAACATAGCACGCATCACGGCATCAGCACGTCGTCTATCCAAATGTGCACGTTGTACTAGAAACTGACCAATTTGTAATAAATCATGACATCTTAACTTCATTGTTTCATTCACATCTAACCGCCTATACATAGTACGAATTTTACCTTCCCACACAGGTCCACAATCTAAAGTACCATAATCTTCAGCACGTTTATAATTTAACAATGGTCCCCATAATTGTGACGCTTTACTTTTTGCATCATCTGACATGAAAAAATCAATAAACAATTTAGTGAAATTCTCTTTCGATAATTTATTCCCATCCGCATAGAGACGAAATAAGATTTCAGCATTTTTCGGCACTGATTTCCATGCTAACATTAATGTTTGAAATTCCGGTGCCGTAATCTTGCCATCATCATCTTGATCCATAGCATTGAATAATGGATTAATGAATTTCTCATGAAATTGTTGTCGAAATTCATTTTTCAATGCATTCTGTAAATTATTTACAAATGTATTTTCATTCAAATTCATTATTGTAGCGGATTGTCTTGGTACATGAGTACAAATCACTTGATACCATAAATAAACAAGTGTTTTTACTAGTTCATCATATTTGTAAGCAACCATTTTAGGATAAACATTGAATATTGAAGTGCCGATTTCTAATAGATCGTCAACCATTAAATAACCATGTCCACTGGAATCTAATCGACGAAATAGTGTACGCATTTTACGTATCCATGTTGGACCATAAACGACTTCAGGTAAATCAGTGGTCATTTCTAATTTTTTTTTGTTTTTATTTGTTATTGAATAGAGTTTTATTAAAAATTCAAATTATTTTTCAAAAAAAATTTTTATACTAGTTTCACTTTTGAATGAACCGCGAAAATTTTCAATTGTTTTAATAGATTTAAACAAAACAAAACACAAAAAAATAATAAAGAAATTATACAAGTATTCATACGATAATTAGAAATTTTAGTGATAACCAATAAATGTGTAGATTGGTGCAAATCACCCACGCAAATCCCCCGGAATTTATTTATAAATTTTGGAGATTGTTCAATGTTCAATAAATTAATGTACTTGCACACAGGCACACACGCACACACAAGCACACATTTAATACATCGAAAAACATGAATCAATAAAATGTACAGCATGTAGGATAAGTGTTGTTTCAACGATATTAACTTCTTTCTTTCCCAATCACAATTTCAATCATGGCATTGTTGTATGTCTATGAAACAACAGGAGTGCTTTGTAGCAAGCAGGTTAAAATCGAATATTTATGTGTCATTATGCAAAAGGCCGCATTGAACATTTTTAATGAAAGTTTGTAACAGTATTTTTTATTCAGAAACTGAAGTAAAATATGAAGTGCATGTTAACTTTTTTTGGTGTGTACATGCGCTTATGTGCGTGTGTGTCGAGGGTGAAAATCAAGTAATTATAGAAATGTAGTGTGAAAGGATATGTGGATGGATATATTTACATGTGAGAAAAACTGATAATTCACTGAAGCAATGAATCAATCATTGTTAGACTACCCGATTAGAAAGCCAGGAAGTACTGGACGACCTGCTTTTTGGTCTAAGTATGCAAACCCATCAACCGTGTGCATCCAAGCTGTCTTAAGTTTCTAGTATTTGTCTGTTTAAACGCGCTGGATATTTATTTAGAAAGACATTTTTTACTGGAGGATGATTATTTGCATAAGCTGTGTATCTCCATACATTTTCGTTCATATCTCGATGTTTTCTACAAATGGTCAGTAGTAGTAGTAGTAGTGGTGTGGTGTGAGCTACTTATAAGCAGTATATGACGTGAGTGTCAACGTAATGTCTGGCAGCAGAAGATGAGGGGAAGATCAAGAAAGGAAGAGTTAGGACACAATGGAATTTGTATGAAACGCATGAATAGTGAGTGACAATGGATTGATGTTTTAGCAACAGGAACAGTCCAGTTCGATATGATGAACTGTTATTTTGCAAATGAACGATTTACGATATGGTTTTCCAATTTTACTGAGTAACTCTGTAATTTTCGTTAAACACAATTCGGTTGCCCCACCTGTGTTCTCGTTCACTACACTGGTAGTAGGTCATCGCGTATTTTGAATACGGTTTGTATAGATCTAAACGTTAATTTTCAACAACTAGTGCTTTATCAAGGACTCTACTGCTGGCAGTTGAGTTCGGAAATAGCATCAACGAGTTCCAACAAATATAAGTATCTTAGATGTCTAATTTGTAGATAACTTTACTTGTAGGATCCAAACCAAGGTTTGGACTGAGGAATAACTACTGTCTAGGTAGGTTAGATACGCGCTACAGCCCAGTTGAAATCAAAACAAGGTGATTTTGGAAAATGACGGTTCTAATATTCACCATAAATATAAATATATACATCATTATCTAAACAAATATTACCACTCAGTTATTCCACCAACAATTGTTCAATTATTCAAACAAATGATATTCTATCCTTCCTGGATAGATCAGATTCGTTCGAAAAATAATATTTGGTTGTTTTATAACACCGAGTGCTTCCTATTCTAAATGAGTGCTTCAATTCACAATCAAGAGGCCTAATTCCAGTCCATGCAAGCGACACAATCAAAACAGGAACAAAATCAATATGGCTGCCGCCACGACTAAGTATCAGCTTAAACAACATAAATGTAGTTCAGAGAAAAATATAGAAACTCAATGAAGGCATAATAAAATACAAAGATTATCATCTCAAAATGGAATCGAACAGATTGACAAAATGTACAGATGAAAGGAATCAACGACGACATATTAAAAATATATACACGGGAAGGATTTTCATAAACAAAGCCTTCAAAAAAGGATCTTACATTACTCGCTACATTTATCTACGGTGTTATAATGTCAGTTTTGTTATTAAACCGGAAGAATGTTTACTTTCATGCAACCAGGTTGTGGATCAATGTTTCAAGTTACTTTATGTGATAGTAAGTAGATGATAAGGGCTTTTAAAACGGTTCACAACTGTTATATCCTTTACACGAATCAATTTACAGATGACCTTTTACTAATCAATATTCAACAAAGACGGAACACTCCATGCTCAAACGACAGCCTAATTCTAACTTGCTCCAATAGAAAAGGAAGAACAAAGATCAACTACCTCCAGTCCAAGATTTTGTCATTGTACTTCAAACGTCCCGTTACATACACATGCACAACCAGATCATATCGTACCATTGAATGGAAATGAACTATTATACATGAATGAGTCCATAGTAGTTATGAGTAGGGGAGACTCTAAAATTACTATTTACTTTAGTCTTATTCTGTAGATATCAACTACAATGCGCGTTCTACAAATTTTTATGGTTTGTGATTGTTTAGCGAGGAAAAATTGTCTTTGGAATAGAAGGAGAACTTAGCTCCAACACGGCAACAGACAATGACCTTGGATAATGTTGTCGAATATGTAAAGAATACATTCCACAAAGAAATCGCCATCAGTGAAGTAAACAATGTGAAATGTAGTCTCGCCACAAATAAGCTGGTTACTCTCGAAATGACATATTTAATTTTTTACAACTGGGTGTGGTGATCTTGGAGTTTTATTCAGAAGACAACATTCTAGCGTGAATTTGTGTTGTGACTCAACGGCGAAATTGAGTATCATGGAAACTATCTGGAAGTGGTATGTATTGACTCGGCATATAACACAAATAACAACAGATGGAAAAAGTTTTCTTAGTAAACATTCCTGAAAGTTGTTGTTAATAGTTGTGGTCATGGTGTGGTGCGAGCTACTTATAAGTAGTATATGACGTGAGTGTCAACATAATGTCTGGCAGCAGAAGGTGGGGGAAGATCAAGAAAGGAAGAGTTAGAACACAATGGAATTTGTATGAAACGCATGAATAGTGAGTGACAATGGATTGATGTTTTAGCAACAGGAACAGTCCAGTTCGATATGATGAACTGATATTTTGCAAATTAACAACGATTTACGATATGGTTTTCCTATTTTACTGAGTAACTCTGTAATTTTCGTTAAATACAGTTAGGTTGCCCCACCTGTGTTCTCGTTCACTACAATGGCAGTTCCGTACTGACTGCATGTTCGAGGAAGGAGTTGACTAACGATGCTAGGATGCGAATGGAATGTCTTTCCTGACATCAAGAAAGCATCATCACATACACGGACACTTGTCATGGACTGGGCATAAGCTGGAATACGAACTGTCCACACCACACATCGGCATACTCGTTTCACGTATGCATAGCTTTTCATTAGAAGGTAAACATAACTGAAAAAGACTGTATGTCTGTACTTAGGGCCTCGTGCCCACTGATCAAGGCGTGTATTCGTCGACTGGTGTAAATGGAAAATGTTGAGCAGTAATAATTCTGTCATGTATATTGAATGGCTTTATGGGTGATTTCATAGTGAGATAGGTGCTTTTCAGTTTATCATATTGGAAATTGACTATTGCGCAAGTACATATGGGCTGAGGCTTATAATGAACTTAATTGTCAACTGAAGAGAAATCTAAAGAAACGCTATGAATTAAACGCGTGTATAATGAAGGTTTGTAGACGGAGTCTGTCGATAATTCACAGGAAAGATAACAAAAAAGTAATCGCATCCAAGAGAGTTTGTCTTACAGACGTTCCTCTGTGTTCAGTTGTACAGTTGTACAAAAGATATGAGAAATAGTTCACATTATTGTGAAATACGAAACGCAGAGTTAATGGTTTTTTTGAGGATGAACAAGTGCGGTACGATTTAATGTCTAGTGAGTGTAACTGCAGAACCTTTCGAACATGCTGCTACTCATGTCCTCATGATCGTTTGTGAGGACAACGTTTTACAGGTGAGTGTCAAATTTATCGAAAAATTTCTCATTACAAGTAAACTGGATGCTTAGACATGGAAGAAGATGACAGTCGAAGTCACATGTAAATGTGTCTGGCGACCATGCTGCTCATTTTCCTGAGCCAATTCAGGAGTAGTTGCCTAATATTCAGCACCTGAGGACTTTCTAGCCACCAAAGTCCTGTAAGGCGTAACTAATAATTTAATAGGATCCCTTAACAAAAATAGGTAAAGACTCAGTCTCTCCAAATTTCGCCTTAGATCAACTGCCTTTGTTCATCAGCATCAAGGGCGAATAGCAAATGTTAAATACCAATTGGGAATCTCACTTAAAGTCTCATGACCTAGACTAAACAAACAATTTCAACTTCAGGGACGACATCTTGTATTACAAGTAACATTCACTTGTTATCAGTTATTGTGATAGTTTGTATGGAGAGAGAAAATTTCAATGTTTTGGCAAACACAAAAATTGGTTTTAATGAACAAGAGTCGACTGAAGTCATCTGCATTTTCGTATTTTAAGTGTGTATTGTGATTTCTGTTGTATTTTGGAACCGACCAATGTTAGACCACCTGGAAGCACTTAAAGACGGCCGTTTCGTCCTGGTATGGGACTACTCAACAGTACGCATCCACGACTCCTGCTTCCAGCAGGATCCGAACCCAGAACCTTCGCTTACCATGGGACCACTTAGCCGGTATCTAACGGTGTTAATGTCTAACTTCGATCCATTCACGCAGTTGCGCAACCTCATACACAGTCTTCGGTAGTTACTGCCCACACCCGGACAGGTTGAACTTCAGTGGTCACGACTTCCCACCAGAACTAGGAGAAGATTCTTCACGAAGCCAGTCACTAGTGAGCACAGGTAATTTTCATTACGGGTTTGTAAAGATTGTTAACTTACACATTTTTGAAACCATGAATCGGTCAATGTTAGACCTACTTACTTACTAACTTACTAACTAACTAACTTACTTACTTACTTACTTACTCACTTACTTACTTACTTACTTACTTACTCACTCACTCACTTACTTAATTACTTACTTACTCACTCACTCACTTACTTACTTACTTACCTACTTACTTACTTACTTATGCACCTATGCACTTATGCACTTGCGCCTATTACCACCAATGGAATATAGGCTGCGGACTAG